TCCTGGCAAAAACAGACCTTATTTTTTTATTTTTTTAATCTTGGCAAAAACAGACCGTATATTCTCTTTAAAAAATAGATTTGTGACGAATTTCCAGAAAGAGGATTGTTTTGATAGTAATTAGAGGCTAGTATTTCGAATTTCACATTTCCGTAAACTTCTTTTATTATTTTTATTAAGGGTAAAAGCTTACGGAGTATTAGTTCTGCTGAGAAAATCCACTTGGACTTTTTTTTGAGTTTGTTTCTGATGAAAAATTTCATTCTCTGTTTCCGATAATTAATTTCTTTCTCTATTTCTGATGAAAAAAAAAATCTTTCTCTGTTTCCGATAATTAATTTTTTTCTGTTTCCGATAATTAATTTCTTTCTCTGTTTCGGATAATTAATTTCTTTCTCTGTTTCCGTTAATTAATTTCTTTCTCTGTTTCGGTTATTAATTTCTTTCTCTGTTTCGATAATTAATTTCTTTCTCTGTTTCGGATGTTTTCTCTGTTTCTGATGATTAATTTTTCTCTCTTTTTCTGATAATTAAATCTCTCTGTTTGCGATAATTAATTTCTTTCTCTATTTCTGATAATCAACTTCTTACTCTGTTTTTCATAATTAATATCTTTTTGTATTTCTGATAATCTTCTTACTCTGCTTTTTATAATTAATTACTTTCTCTGTTTCTGATGATTAGTTTCTTTTTCTATTTATGATAATTTTTTTCTTTCTGAATTTCCAATCATTCCTTTCTTTCTCTGTTTCCGACAATTAATTTCTTTCTCTGTTTCCGATAATTAAATTATTTTTCCGTTTCCGAAAATTAATTTCTTTCTCTCTTTCCGATAATTAATTTCTTTCTCTGTTTCAGATAATTGATCTCCATTTCTCTTTTACTTGCGATCTATTTTTGACAATTAATCATCTTCTATGTTTCGGATAATTGACTTTCATATCTCTTTCTGTTGCTGATAATTTCTTTCTCTATTTCTCATAACCAGTTTTCTTCTTTATTTCCGATAATTCCTTTCTCTCTCTCTCTCTCTCTCTCTCTCTCTCTCTCTCTCTCTCTCTCTCTCTCTCTCTCTTTCTCATAATTCATTTCTCTATTTCCTTATTCATTACTCTTCCTATTGTATTTAACATTTCTTGGTCGGAGCAGTTTCCTCTTCGTTTCTCTATTTAAATATCAATTCACTTATTCAATCGCTTTGAAATTGTAGAGAATCCTCTGACTCTAAAACCACGCTCGTAAATTATTTAAACATGAATTTAAACAGAGAGAGAGAAAAGAGAGAGAGAGAGAGATGAGAGAGAAGAGAGAAGAGAGAAGAGAGAGAGAGAGAGAGAGAGAGAGAGAGAGAGAGAGAGAGAGATAGATAGATAGATAGATAGATAGATAGATAGATAGATAGATAGATAGAGAGAGAGAGAGAGAGAGAGAGAGAGAGAGAGAGAGAGAAAGAGATAGATAGATAGATAGATAGATAGATAGATAGAGATTAGATAGATGATAGATAGATAGATAGATAGATATAGATAGGATAAATAATAGATAGATAGATAGATAGATAGAGAGAAACAGACAGAAAGAAATAATAATAATTCTTGAAAGATGATTTACATTGTGTTCTAGTGAGAAATAACCCTTGGCGATCGACAGAATTTTACAATCTGAAATAAAATGG